GGAATTCGGGCTTAGAATTATCCATATATCAAATGTTGTCAAAATCCGTTCTATAGTTATTGCGTGAAGAAGTAACAGAAATCCAAACATACAAACTTTTATCTTTATTATATACATTTGGTAGGTGTAGGTGTAGTGGTAGGCTTTTCGTATATATTATAGACGAAAAGCCTACCACTACACTATCTTGCGAAGAAAGTAGTCAACATTATACGAGCCCCCGATAAACCGTAGAAAAGTACTTATCCAGTACGAAACCTAATAAAAGGTTATAGTCTTACAATATTAACACAACTTGGTCACTTTACTGCCGCTGCCCGGCTCGTCCACCGTCCGACAGGGATAATACCCAGGATTTTTACTGGAACCTCTATAAGCCAACACTAAAATGTTTGAAATTTAAATTAAAATTAAAAACGGGTAATTTTGCGCTGTTTTTTATCTGAACGTTGGACAGTTTTAGTGCATTGCAGACGGCTACAATTATCATTTATATGATAATGAAATCCCTTGAACTATTTCAGGAGAAAAATTGAAATGTAAATTTTAAAAAAAGTTAGATATTAGGTATATCAAAAACCTTATCGATTTCATTTCAGAAAGATTTATTTGAGAAGAAATCAGTTAGATATATTATATTCTTTGCATTATTTAAAATGTTTGGCATTAAATTTATAGCACTCGCTATTTTCCCGTGACTTCGCCTGTGTAAATATAGCGTATGATTATATCTTCCCGTAGAAACTCGGTCCAGCAATTTCGGAGTATAATGAATGTAAACAAATAAACAATATAATCTTTTCTCTCTACAATACACGTATTATGAAAAAAGTGTGCTACGAAAAGAAATGGAAAAACAGTGAATTTTAGCGTCAACTTGGTGTTTTTTTCATATTTCGAGAAAATTTTGTAAATTCACATTTTGACTGTGACAAAACCCATAGAATTTCTGACCCGTGAAACACCAAATTGGTTCACCTAAGTGTCCCACGGCAAACTTTTTGTACCTCTTTTTCACCTAGGTTCCGCTATTCAAAATAATGTACCCGTAGTTCGACTATCAAATGAAATACAAGTCAACCTAAATAATAGGGATGATGACTGGGTAAAAAAAATGCAATTCTATTTAGTCCGTCAGTCAGATAATAGAAAAATATTAGATACGTATTTTTTTTACTTCAATTTAACAAGAAATAGCTTAGATAACAGGCATTAAAGTTGACGAGTGGGGGCTCGCTACGTCACAGTTGAGTAGAAAACGTACTCTAACGTGACGTCATGCGAAATTTCAACTCAATGTAACGCCGTAATTTTATGATTACGAAAAAAGTAAAAAAATACGTGTTTAATATTTTAAAACACTCTACCTCACGGACAAACAAACAAAAATTAGTCATCATCCCTATTCAAAAACTAAATGTAAAAATTGATAAAATTAAATATTTTCGGGGAATCAAGAAAGAAATCTGTTTTGGTAAGGTAACAATTTAATAAGTTTCTGTTTACTCCAGGGGTGAATATTCTACTTTTAATTAATAGATATTGCATCAAATGCTTGGTTCACATTAAAAAAAAATATCGCCTAATTGACTACGTAGCGTTCCTTATGCACTCTCTATAGTGATTTACTTATTAACTAATTGTATTTGTATATTGAGAATAAAGTCATCATTTTCGAGAAATATTTTTCTTTTTTTAATAGGAATTTTATCAGCATGTACAACTGAAACACTTTTTTTCAAAAAAAATAATAGCCTTAATAATGTCACTGTGTTTTTGTTCAGCGCTCGGTAAAGTTTGACATTGTAGCCCTCGGTGACATTATTGGAACGGTGATGCTATCCAAATACACTTAATGTTTTCATTATATCATTTTTAAAACAAAAAAATAATAGTTTTTTTTTATTTTCATTTTTTAAGTGGCCAGTATATAAGAAGAAGACGAAAGGATGGTAGGTAAATGGATAAATTTAAAGAACAGCCAGACAGCGGTCTCGATTCCCAACATCTTCATACACTCGATGAAAGTTTCAAACGGCATTCTTGGCTGTGTTGAAATAATCCAATAGACTTTTACATTTAGAAGTGCAAAAAGTTAGCCGTAGAACTAGATCAACCAAGAGTAGTTACAGAAATTTTACACCTAGGCGAACCAGGGGTGCAAAAAGTTTGAAACACTTTGATGTTCCACGGGTCCGAAATCATTTGTCAGATAATATTACTTATTTACATCATGTTGCTTTGTACAAAACGAATTGAAAGTTTTACATTTGTGATGAAGGGAAGACAGAAGAAAAGAAGTTATATTCCCTTTAACGTTTGAATGTTATGTTTATTACAAAAATATCTCGTCTAAAAGCTTAAATGTGAGAGATATTTTTTATCTTTCTAAGAGTTATAGATTTTTTTTTTTATATCTATTGACTTATATCTAAGTGAAAACAATTTTGTTTATTTATTATTCGCTTTTGAATGTTTTGATTTCTAAAAATATATCCTTTACCTTAGAACTCTATGATAAAAAGATATATGTTTTATCTATGCTGATATTATAAAGTGGTAGGTTCTTACTTTGTACGTTTGTTTGTTGTTTGTTTAAAGCGGCTTCACCACTCACCCAGTGGTGAAGCTGCGCATCTGTAATTACTTATTTCCTTTTTCCATTGATTTCCGTATGAGTGCACCCCAAAAAGTATATTTGGTGTCCTTCTAGAGGTATTCCATTCTATATCGCTGCCGCAGGCGCTAAGGACATAAAAAGATCTCGCAACCTCACCTCTGGCCGCTTATACGCCATGACGGCATTGTGTAGAAAAGTGCATAGGTACGTCATTAGTCTTTTGTTTTGTTACCGTAACTCTTTGTTTTCTGACCGCCGCGCTTGAAAAATATATTGAGCACCATTTATTTACATATATTTGTAATACAATTACTGCAAATATAAGCACAGTTACCGACAGAAGACTAAACTAATTGCGGACAAAGCGAAAGTCGCTCTTTCAAGTCTCGATAGTGTACATCGGTAAGTACCTAGTACTCTCGATTGTAGATCAGAGTTCTGTCAGGCTCTTTTTTCTTTCGCTTTCCTTTCATAAACAAGCGCATACTTTCCGACGTGAGGTCTCGGCTATTTACACGCCCCCTCACAAGGGAGTAATATACGGAAAGACTGGTCAGATCATGAAAATCCTTACTCCTACTGTGAGCTACATCACATGCGGGTAACATTAACTATAATTTACACGAGCGAAGTTGCGGAAAAAAGCTAGTTTGTTAGTTACTATTGATTAGTTTTAGCAATCAAAAAAATTTTTCCTAATCATCCATATACCCCAGACCATATGAGAGTTGCCATCAAGAACTAGCTGTTTTCCCCGATCTCACCCACGAATGATGTAGCTTCTCCTAGTTGAGAAGGGGCTCGCTACGTCATAGTTGAGTAGAAAACGTACCATAACGTGACGTCATGCGAAATTTCAACTCCATGTGTCGCCGTAATTTTATGATTACGAAAAAAATAAAAAAAATACGTGTTTAATATTTTTTAACACTCTACCTGACGGACAAACAAACAAAAATTAGTCATCATCCCTATTGTAATGATACTTAATATAAAAAAATCTATGAAAAAATTTCGACTACTGTTATTTTTTTATCCTAAACGTATTATGCTTACCTTAAATTGGTGTTACGTGTAGTAACCTAATGTTAAGATCCATGTAGTGTTTAAAATTAACATCATTCATCTAATATTTAGTGATACTCTTGATGAAAAATGCTTAAAAGATCCACTTTGTCCTGGCACTCTGAGATGGGACTCGAGGCATCAAATATAATAATTAAGTGATTCTGGTCATATTCAATTTGTTTTTTGTATTTAACTTTCTGAGTCTGTTTAGTTACATTTTTTGCGGTAAGTAAATTTCTCTTAGAAAATACTGTTAGAAAAATTGTAAAGTACATAAGTAATCTTAAAATATCTCTCAATATATTATAAAAACATTGCCAATACCTTAGACGTTATTTTTTATTATAATACAGTTCATCCTGATTCAAAATCTTCACAAGACTCTTGAAAGCCTATCGACTACTCTAGACTACTTACTTACTATGTAAACGATACCCTCTCAACATCGTTATGAGATATATCGTGAGAATATCTCAATGTGTTCCGACACTACTTAGCGGCTAGCAAGCAGGTTTTCAAACATTGAGCACTTTGTGGATAAGGCTTTCCCTTTGTAGGTAGGGTAGGAATAACATTGTTACACAGAAAATACTAGACAATCCCAAAAGTTTTTTTTATTCACAACTTATATAACCCCTTTTTGACTTTCCAGACTCATATAAAAGGTAAAATAGTTTACATTTTAAGGTATTCCACAGATTTTATAACAACGTGACATTAAAAAAGAATTGAAAATGAAACTACCACACTAATACAGTCCGCGTTCATCAGAAAATTCATGTCTTCATAAAAATGTCTGTATTGAAGATTGTTTTAATGATCTTGTTACCAATTAATAATTTTCTAAGAAGCAATCCCGTCGTCAATAAGCTATGGTAAGTCAATAACATCCGATAATCACATCGGACAACAACTATAAAAAGGATGTCTTTGTTTAGATTTCACAAGAGACATTGATTGTCGAAGCACTGGAGCATATTTTAATTGTGACAATTGGCTGCTTTTGTGCTGCCATTCAAGAAACGTTCACGGACTCAATCGTGACTACAAAGGGTCGGTAAACTTAAAAAGTCGGATCTCTGATAGGAATAATAGTCTAAAAGCCGTTTAAAACAAGTAATAAAAATTTAATTGTCCTTAAAAATACTGAAAGATATAATAAAGTCTTAAGTTACTTACTATTGTTATTAAATAATAGATTTAATTGCATTCAATCGTAATTCTATCATAACTCTGCAATATAATCCACGAGTGCAGAATAAATTAATACACTCAACACTACTTCTTCGATTTTTATTATTAATCACTTTGATTAATGGTAATATTTTTTTGGATACTTCCGTTTCATATCACTGGGTTTCAAAGACACGTCAGTATTTGTTTCAAATTTTTTTAACCACTCTTGTACTGGATTCAGGAATCTTGCTTCTACCACTGGTGTTGGAAGCCGTGTTCTACTGAGTAAACCTTGAAGAGCTTGAAGGAGAAATGACAGCAAGGACATGGAAACTACTATGTTGATTGGATCGAAGCCGATCGAATGGTGATGATACGTCTGAGCGTGACCCCCATAGTTACCATTTGCACTGGCACCGTAACTTGAAGTGCCAAAGTGACCATTGAAATTTCTAGATTCAGCCACGTAATCGCTTACAGAAGTGTCAAGAGTCTTCTTTAATATTGGAAGCTCCAACTGATGCTCATCATATTGACTTTTAGAAACATCAACATACCGAGAGACTAATCCAAAATCTTTAGCTTCTTTAGTACTCGTGCTCCGGTCTACGTTATTTATTTTCTTGAGCATCGATTGTGCGTTTATTTGAATCTTCTTTAGTAGCGCTTTTATTTTACTATTCTGGTCTGTTATCATATTCGTGATAAACTTTTTAAAATTCTGGATGCTTGGTAATGCTGTTGAATTTTCTTTTGCAACATTTGATCTGGCCGTCGATATTAATATTATGATTATGAATACTGTCAACGATAGAAGAGACATTGTGATCGTCACTGATTTATAACTTGGTATCTTCAAAGCCATGTACTTGTGTCTATGAACTATAACAAAATGCACTTGATTTTGTTGGTAGTAGCTTTATAAAGTCAAGATTTCGGGGTCGGTTGCTTAGGATGATAACTTGTCACAGATACAATGGTGATATGGATTTGAACTATACTCTCGAGAATGTGCTTCGTTACGATTTTAATAGTTACGTGTAACCTTAAACCATGACACTTGACCTAGCTGATCATAAACCAATGAACAATAAGAAAAATATGACTATTTATAATTTCACTTAAGCTATTGTTAAGATTGGAGAAAGTTTACTTTTTTCATTAAAAGCAAAAATAAAAGATTTACATGCTTACATTACTTTTTCAAATGTAACAAAGGTCCATATTATTAGCACTGAAAATGTTTGAAAAGAGAGAAATTGATTTGATATTACGAACGATATATGAGTACGGTTTTTATAAGTTGGATATTCATAAAAATGAAAAATAAAATATAATAATGAGTTATAGCTGTTAGACAATAAGTCTAACAGAAAAAAATAATCAATAAGATATTTGGTATGTTGGCAAAATGAACAATAATGCCTTTGCTTCGATTATATTTTTATATAAAATTAAGTGTATGTAGGTATAAAATCAAAAAAGATGACTTGAAATCCAATTTTCTTTTATTTTTATTATAAAACTGGCGCCAACTAGTGATTATAAAAAATTTTGATCAGATTAACTTTTTTTATTATTTTATATAAACAAAAAATTTAGTCTAAAAGGGGTTCGACTTCCGTCTCAGACACCCTTCAGTTGATTTTTTAATGTATTTTTCAATGCAGTTGCTCATAAGTGCTATTTTTTTAATCCATCGTAAACACCGAAAGTGAGTCTTTAAACACGTGTTAAATAAAAATTTACTGAAATCCTTTACTGCACACGTGCTTAAAAGTATTGTTTTATTTTTTTTGGCCGAGCACAAGAAAATTGAAGAAAATGTGTCAAACTTAAGAGGCAAAAGTATTTCAAGGAGCCTAGAACGAATATTTTCAAATAAAAATGTATGACACGTAAACATGTTCAAATATCACGTTTAATTTTAACAAATAATTTTTACCTTTAGTTTTATTAACCTATATATTTGTTATATTTCCTCGCAAAAAGCATTGAAAAATGTTGTAAGAAACTTGAGCGTAAAAGGTTTTTCGAATTCGTGCCAATGAAAACCCTCGCCACGCTCGTGTTTTCAATTGGTCCTTATTCGTAAAACCTTACTTTCCGCACTCATATCTTAAATAATTATTCTTGTTATATTCATAGCCCCTTAAAATATTAAATATGTAGCCATCTATAAGATATTGGTTGAACAATCACATTGTACAATTCACTAAAGCAGATCAAATTAGAATGGCGTACATCGTAGTTTACTATATGACACAGAGATGGCGCTTTTGAGGAAACTCGTGCGCATGCTTTAACTTTAAACCACAACAGTGAACACGTGTAGTGCCATGGTGATTTAAAAGGTAGCGTTATATATGTAAGATCTTAAGACACTCAATAATTGCTCTACCATTTACTGAAGCCTAAAATCTTTATAAGGACTGTATGGTTCACCCGTTAACATTATTTTTATTTAATATCTGAATTAATTATGTTGGAAAATTAATTTTAATATGCTTGATTGATGTATTTACATAGACTACTTTTAATTAAATATTTTGCTTAAATAACCATATAACGTACACACACACGTAACTTGGGCACCTAATACCGTTATTTTTATTTAAATAGTAAAGATAGATACTTAATCGAAAATTAATTAAGAATAACACTAGAAAAATTAAGTTATAATAAATAATAAATTATCCCATAGTATTAATAAGCAAGCTTACATCTTATATCTAAAAGTAACTTCTCGTTGTACCTTTTGATTTCAGTTGCTGCTACCAATAAAAAATCACCACCTGTTACTTCATCTAGAGTATATAATCTATTCTGAAATTTGTAATCAAATTATGTAGCCTGTTATAACTTTTGTTGCGTTATCAAGTAATGTTGTTAATTTGTCCTTTCTAAGGCTTAAAATCTTTAATCTAGAAATCAAAACACATCACACGTAACAATTTCCCATGAAATAATGACATTACAAAACTTTCGGCTCCGCAGTTGCATTCCCGTGTATGCTACCGTCGGATAGCATAAGACATAGTAATAACTCATTACGTACCAAACTTAAGCAAACAATAAAATATTGGGGGCATAATTACTGAGATAAGGCAGCGGTAATATAAAATGGGAAGTGGGAATTCGAAATAAATGGCAGCGGATCCCTATATTAATTCCTCGTTTGTCTGACTCACCAAGCGGCAATTTTTCTAAAGGCGGCATCGGTAGGGTTAATTGTAAATGAACGATTGGACATAGAAGTGCATGGAATAAGACAATGTTTATTTTTTGTTGATTTAAAAATACTTAAATCCCTTAATATTCTATCAAAATGAATCTCATTGAGATAATTTTTGTCATATATTTTTTAAAAGAGCTACCATTATTCATCATCGTCAGTTCATCAGCCCTTTTACATAGGTTAAGAAGGATGGGTTATGGCTCTCCACGTTGACCCAATTAGAGGGTATTAACAACCGGGACCAATGGCTTAACGTGCCTTTAGAAGCACAGAGTAGTTCATTTTTGGTCACCCATCCCGTGACTGACCCTAGTGATAGGCCGCGGCGCTTATCCACTGCGCTACCAGCTACTCTACCATTTACTACTACCATTATTATTATCGAAAAAATAACTAAAATCGTTTTTTTTGTGTTGGTTGTTTTAAGAATTATGTCTACTATCTATACATAAATCAAAAGTAGGTAAATGATTTTATAAAGTCCTGTACTACAAAAGGTATGTTTTAATTTAGTACTCTGAATAAAAAATGACTAAAAAAATAATTTACCAAAACTTGGCTCATATTTTATATTTAATACTTATCATAAGCAATATTAAAAATAATTTGTCTTAACCAAGTTAAATTTACTGGCACATTCAGAAAGGTCTGTTGACAATGCTTAGTTTACTTGTCAATGTCGATTAACAATTATGTTTCATTCAAAAATAGTCTTATGTTGCATAGGTATATTTAATAAGTTTTTTATATGCTATTAAAATGGAATGACATTTCTGAGTCCATCAAATGCCAAGTGAATCTTTCTTTAAGTTCACATACGCTCACTAACTGCCTACTAATATTTTAACACGATCTAACAATAATCTACTCAATAGTGCTCTGTTCACTGGCTCACGGTCAGCTAACAACGTGAAAAAATGTCGAGTATAAAAATACTTCATTAAACTAACTTTTATCTACGGTGTTAATCTATGGGCGGAGGCTAGTATAGTCTGTGTTATCTTTAAAACGACTTAACACGGCATTTAGCGTTTGTAAAAAACAAAATCTTATAAACTTACAACATAAGGCACATTATTATGTTACAACAAAAAGAACGTTTCGTTTGCTATTTAAAAAAAAAAACGTTCTAAGCAAACTAGAGTTTTAATAACGACAGTAGATTTATTGGTCCACCCTAACACAATTTGAAATTAAGATGTCGGAAACCTTGAGTGTTGTAACCATTTTTCATTTAATCTACACATACAATTAGATGGTAAAGTTGACGCCGAAAAGTAACCCTTTTTGATGTGGGACACAAATCAATGGCCATGGGAGCACCCGACTTTTTTTATATTCACATTTCAAACTCTCAGATGACTATTAGAGGTTTAAATCTATAACCATACTTACAAAAGTTTGCAATAGTTATCTACCCTTATTTTTATGTTCTTGGCATAATTTATAGGCTTTGTCACCCGCGTATGATGTTCCCTTAAAGGGTCCAGTAGTTTAGACGCCTACTCAATACCAACAATCAATTAAATCTTGCTTCTGAATAAAAGTTATACACTGTTATATTTTTATAGATGAGTGTTTACAGCGAAATTGTATTATATATTATGCATGTTATAAAAACAAGAGGATTCCTTCAAATTATTTCTGGAATAGCTAGTGTATTTCGGCTTAAACACCATTTTTATTAGTTTAGATTACCTTAACTAGTTTTAGAACTTAGAAATAAAATTATTTTGATATTGTCTAATACTAATCTTCTAAAGTGGGGACGTAATAAAATGTCCACGTTTATCTAACTTAAAACAGTTTTTAATAGTAAGTGTATTATTACGATAACAAATAGAAATAATGCTGAATTTTAAGGATAAAGTTCTTCGATATCTCTTTCATTGATTTTTCAATGTTCTTGATAGCTTTCATATTTTATTTCCAAATTTTTCAAAGAACTGTATATTGCTTGTTACTCTTACATATCTTGAATAATTATGCCTATGCATCTGAATGTTATGATGTTTTTTCTATACTGTTTAATTTATTCTATTTTATTTAAACATCGCACACATAATTCTAATATTTCAGTTACATAAAAAGGTCTGGTTAGTAATAGTATATTAGAAAATCAAGTACGGTTTATAAAAAACTTTTCATACTCTTTCAGTTTTCAGAAAAAGTGCCCATTTCTACTAAATAAATTTTGTCGAAATCGAATCGAGAAGGGAACGAAACCGAACGAAACGAAAGTGACATAGAATACAATTCCAGTTCTATTTTAATTTAGCTTACTGTCGCTAAATAGAAACTGTCAACGTTATTCTCCTCATTCAATCGAACTCATGGACTTATGACAGCTATTTGGGTCGGCTTGGGTTCGGATACAATTATGTTTTAGTTTAGAAAACGTTCATTTGATAATTGATGTTAGCAGTATGCATATTTACAGTAGCAATCAAAACGGAACCATTATAGAAACGCTATAAAGATCTATGATTGATCATTAATCGTTCCAAACTTACAGAATTGGCCCCCAGGATGTCGGAGTTATCGATTCGAAATTGATTCTAAGATGACGTAGAAGAAGACGTTCTGCTTCGTTCATGTTTGCATCTTTAATCCCAGGAGCCTACAAGACATATCTAATTTGTCAACAAATTAAAATCTATATAAAGAAAGATAGATCTGAATAATAGATTATTTTGATATACTGTAGCGGCATTAGGGTAGGGTGCGTAGAGCGACCGCCCAGGTTCGCTCATTTAGCCAAACCTAATCGTGAATTTCCTAAAAGCAAAATCTTAATAGTGAAACACTGAATGCAGTATTCAGTCCATTGGATCGCAGCACTACAACTAATTTTGCCGAGGAGCTTTGATCTATCTCTTTTTAACATTTTACTAAGCATCTATACTATACCTACTTATTCTTAATACAAAATGCTTAAAAAATCCACTTTGTCCCTGGCACCCTGAGATGGGATATGAGCCCACTACCTTTCGCAATCCGGGCGACTGCTCTAACCACTGAGCTACCCAGTTAACTACTTAGTTTAAAGAGGTAGTAACATTTGTTTGTTTATGTTTGATTTGTTTGCTTTATTTCTGGAACTAACTTAACTGTTTTCACAAAATTTCCCGAGAAAAAACTATTACCTTATTTTTAATGCGGGAAATTATATTATTTCTATGGGACTGTACAAATTTTTATGGGGAATCAAGATGTTACCATAACTGTCGTTGTTTATTTATTTGATTTGTGACTCTGCAATAAATATAATATAGTGAGTTGCAAATAATATCATTGAATAAATGTTTCTAATATGTATTTGACTAATTTATAACTAAAAATTACAATGTCAAATCATTTTTTATAGTAATTTAATGTATAAAAGAAAAAGTTGAGATCGCAGTTTCTTTTTGCAAAGGTCAACAGTTTCAAATTAAAATGTAGTAAAACCTTTAAACTCTGATATAAGTACTAGATGATATTAAGTATATACTAAATGGCACTATCGTTTGTGTCAAAGAATTTTGCGTAGAGAGTATTTTAGTTTAAGATTAAAAGTTATAATCCGTATTCTTCATTAGTATTTCAAACTGCAACTTAATCTATAGGTACTAATCTTAGAAATGCGAAAGTTACTATGTCTATTTCATTCCTATCTGTGACCGACAAAACCTCAATATTAATTAACAAACTTGGAAACTATGTCTATTGAAAATGAAATAGCTGAAAAGATCGACGAAATAATTGCATTCATTTAATTTTCATTTTACATGTAGAAATTCATTTATTCACTTGACATTGGCAGAAATGTGCGTGATGCGCAGATAAGTCATTAAATAAAAGAAGAAGACTAACTAAATATTGCCGATAAAAAAGCTAGAGGAGTTAATTTTTATAATTAAAAAATAAAAACAAAATATTGTGTTCTTAAAAAATATAAACATTAATTTTATATTTTCCTTTTTTTTAGAATGAGTTGAAATTCCAGTAAAGGGACGCCATAGTGACCTCGCCCAAGGCGCCGAAAGTGCTAAAACCGGCCCTGTTGATATGTGTGATCTAAAGTCTCACCTTAACGTTTTCTCTTCTGTCATTATCAATTTGCTTTAGGAGACTAATGGCCATGAATTGAAAAAGAATAAACAGGAGGGGGAAGGACTAAAATGTCCAAGCTATACGATGACTATAAAACCCTTTCCAGCCAAACACTTCTATATATATTGAAGTATTCATTCCCAGCTTTATAAATAGCACATAATACTAGACGGTGACGAAATGCGGATGCGTAATGTTAAATAAACATAGAGATAAAACTATAAACTATTCGTAAACGTTTCCCTCTAGAGATCAAAAGATAACATCCGAACAATATATGTGAGTTTCAATTTGCCGTCGGCGTCGTCGGAAAATAATTAAAAATACAATTAAAATACACCATAAATCCGTCGGCGGCCCCGCCTAGTGCGTAAACAAATTTAAAGTGATCACTATAAATAAATATATGGATATGTTGTTTTAGTGTAATCGTATATTGCCGCTCCTGGTTTTAATTGTTTTTCTGCTTCCCTGTCATTAAAAACTGATTAATAAATATTTTAATCAGGGTGAATGCACCAGTAGGAAATCGATTTAGCAACATTTTAAAGCTTAACTGCAGTAACCATTGTCAAAAAATCATTGTACTCCTTACCATATAATGCAGATAATTCAAATTTTATTGCTTTTATGTGGTTAGTTGCAATGTGCTAAATGTGGACCAAGTTGTATGTAGTTGACATGTATATGTAAGTTATAATCGCATGTTTGGTAAACTACAGCAATATAACCAAACGTTAAAAAATGGCGAGAAATGCAAAAAATATGTTAATATTGAGGTTTGAATATTAAAATTGTGTAATACTGGTTGCTGGAGTGGGATTGGCGCATCTACCTTGTGTAAATATTTGCTAAATTTTGTCCATTGGTGTGGCAGGACTTCGAGCTAACGCATCTCTAATCATAAACGAAGAAAAGTTTGTTTAAATACAATATATATTTCAATGCATAACGTTAGAGATAAGCATCAGAAAAAAGTATCAATCAAAATGCTGTAAAGATATTTTGGGTTATAGACTAAATTTGCAAGAGCTTTCCAAAGCAAATTATTTCAGTATGTCAACGTACTAAGGTACTAATACTTTTAATATGTGTTACGATTTTACAAAGGTTTTAGGTGAAACGAAGCTAATAAAACGAAATATATTACAAAAGCCATTTCATTTATTTTCCATTAATATTACCAACATAAAACTATGTATTACATGCGCTTGATTACATCTTGGAATGACTAAAAATAAAATCTATTATTTTTAGTCATTCCAAGATACTTATACATCTAAATACACCTTAGACAGCTCGTTTAATACTCAATCTATAGTCGAGAGAAGTAATTACTCTAGAAAATAGCATAACTTAGGCAGATATTTGTAGACCAAGAGACTAGAATTTTTATGAAATAAGAACTGCTAATAGCTAATAATTATTCTTACTAATTGGTAAATAAGAAACGTATACTTGAGTTTATTTTCACAGATGGCGCTTCTGTGTTAGTTTTAGTTAGTCGCGTTCTATTTTACCGTCTATCTCTCTCTCGTTTTCAAGATGGTATGTTTGCCTTTGTTCTCCTAGTAAATAATTTGGATAACTTTTACTTAATACCGCTGTTTGAAGATTGACAGTTTTACTTCATTTAAATTCTTTTTTATTTGTTAAAAATATCATATAATTACTTTTACTCAACTATGGATAAGGGCGTAAGAAATACACAGAACGAAACGCTTCGTAAAACTACATACATGTAAAAAAAATATTATTAATAAATCTAGAAAAAATTATCAACATTCTAGTCGAATCATTTTCAACTTTCTATTCGACAGTCTTAAGGTGCTCGTGATAGGATTCGAACCCATTAGCTATCGCTAACCAGGCGACTGTTCTAACCAATGAAGATGCTCAAGACCTTAATTGAAACAAATTGAAGTGATATGTATAAACATTTAGGCCAATTATTACTGGTACAAATCTAGAAATTTTCTATAAGAGTTAAAATTAAATATACGTTATATCCCAACGGATCTAAGGGTTTAGTTCATCACACAAAGTTTATGTTAATCCTTTCCATACATTGTTGAAATAATAATATAGCCCAATAGCAAAATAATATTATTATCTGAATTTTTCTTGCAAAAGCTAAAGCTATTTGTAGAAATTTTTCTTTACTCTCCGCTAAGACAAGCCTTATAAAAAAGGGATTTTCTATCGACCGGAGATTAGTTTTAAAAGCATCAACTTTCTTTATTTTTATGAAGTACTATCGAAGATTTTTCACTCCATTATCGAATCCATTTTAAAGTAGACATAGTTTAAATATCGAAGTTGCTCATCAATTTCATTTTAAGAGTAAACATATTACACGACGAAATTAGAAACACAAAATAAAATAAAAGAATTATTAGACACACAAAAACAGAAGCACAAAGAATAGGGATGATGACTGGGTAAAAAAATGCAATTCAAGTCTGTCAGTCAGATAACAGAAAAATATTAGATACATATATTTTTTTACTTCAATTTAACAAGAAATAGCTTATATAACAGCCATTAAAATTGAGGAGTGGGGGCTCGCTACGTCATAGTTGAGTAGAAAACGTACTCTAACGTGACGTCATGCGAAATTTCAACTCAATATAACGCCGTAATTTTATGATTACGAAAAAAATTAAAAAATACGTGTTTAATATTTTTTAACACTCTACCTAACGGACAAATAAACAAAAATTAATCATCATTCCTATTACTTCAAGATAATTATTACACGCTCTCGAAAGGTAAATAAAGACATTACTTTCCCACCCAAAAGTCAAATATAACCTTCATTTTATCAAACAAAAACAAAATCATTGCCGTCTCATCATTTTCTTACATGACAATATCATCTTAAATGGTACAAATAATGTCATAAAAATAAACAGTCTTTCAAAATACCGTCTCGCTGCAAAACTAGCACTTAAAAATTACTCCGATCTAGATCAGGACTGAGTAGCTGCGGCAGTGGCGGCCGCAACGCTGGCGTTCGTGATCGGCTGTTGTGGTAGTAGCAGGTCAGCCAATCGACCGGCTTCCCTTAAACCGGAGAGGAAAGCGCCATGAACTGTGGCTGGGTAATTTCGCATAGTATGCTCTCCTATACAAACAAAGCAGAAGAATAATTAAATGCAATTCATGTAACAGCATCAAAAGTAGATGTACATTATAAATGTGAAAGTTTCTTTGTATGGATGTTTGTCCGTCAATCACGTCGAAACTACTGAACGGATTTGATGAAATTTGGTATACAGATAGGGTATTAGCTGACTTAGATAAAATGATACTTTTTAATCCAATAAACATTTCACGGGACTACGCGGGCGAAACCGCTGACGAAAGCTAGTATAGGTATATTATCTTAATTAACGAAATGGAACCTTAACTACTTTTATTAAAAACATAATGCATATTTCAAGAGGAGGGCCTATTTTCGTGAGGATTCTTCGCATACGGGCTCGCATACGTCCACTTCTCCCCATCTTGATATCTTAAAGGAATGTAGTAAAATATTCGATGTCTTTGTTTAGCGTGCAAATCAAAAATCACCTTCACGTACACTTTTAAGCTTAGTAAAATTTAGTATATTAAAGTGTAATTCTTGTTCAACAGTCATATAGAAAAGAAAAAATTGAATGTAATATTCGCTCACCAGCGAAGAATAGCCTATTTTCTCCTGGCGCACCGGGCACGGGCGCAGCTAGCAGATCGTAATCTGTTCCTGATGAACCAACTGCAACGAAACTGTAGGAGCCTCTAGCGAACGGATCTGCTCGCCACCTGAATACGAGAAAATAGTTGTGATATATTGTATACTACATATTTATCAGCAAGCATAAATCAGTGTCGGTCTCTTTTTGATTTTTAGGAAGTGGAAGAGATCGACATACCTTTTTGGTACAATTGTGGGACACGCATAGTTATTGGTATATATTTTTTATTATTGCTATCTTTTTATGTTTTCTTTCATATTTAATTGTTAATTGAATGTTCTACGTATGCGTGCTAAATAAATGGATTTGATATGATGTTTAATAAAAGTCCCCAAGTATATTTCCTGTAGGAAAGTAATCATAATTTACAGAGAATTAATAAAAATAATAATTTGCGGAGAATTAACAATAAATAATAATAATTTAAAAACAAGTTACAAAGAATCACAAAAACGAAAAAGTATACCAAAGGCAGCCTTATTGCTGAGCAGCAATCACATCCAGGCAACCAATGGAGGACAAAAAAAAATGAGTATAAATCTTTTTTCCTAATAAGACCTAAAAGTTTTTGAGTATTATTTGTTATGAAGCCTTTTATAGTTTATCCATTGATTTCTACAGAGTTTACTAGATTCCAAGTATCTTACAGTTTCTTGAAACATTTAATATACAATCGATTCTCATTGGAATCTGAACATTTTGTTCCAGCGTTAGCTGGCTTTAATATTAAATTAATTTTTCGCCTAAAGAAATTCATTTACTTGTAATAGGGCAGATGGCACAGTTTTGATCATTTTAAAATTTTTGGCCACTTCAAAATTGCGAGAAAGTTAACTTTGACACATCACATCTATCGAGGTCATTACTTTTACCATAGTGCAACATTTAAAAACCGTGATTATGCGTTAATTAGACGGCTTTGAAGTAACAAATGGCCAAAAGGAGGAGGGGGGTCAGTGGCCACAACCGAGTCTTCTGCTCTATGGTTACAATAAAACTGAAGAACTATATTACCTGGTCACCACACACTCTTTCGGTTGTGGAACAGCAGCATGACCGAAGATGCTTTTCAGCACTGCGATGCATCGGCCTACGATGACGTCATCAGTGACGTTTTCCATTACAGCTGCCGCCTCGCCAGCCACCAGCGCCAGTAGTACGGGAGCGCTGTATAGATTCCAGAATAGGAACAGCTCACCTTTTGAGGACAGACAAAAGGTAATGAAACTTTATGCAAATAAGACATGTTGCTATTAGAAAATCGAACACTTTTGTTGCGAATTTGTAGAAGCCGATATTTTAATGAATATTTAATGTACAGGACAGTCTAATGGTCAGTCGAACAAACGTTCATTAAGGTTTAATGATGCCTTTAAGCTCTAATGAATGTCTAATTTGTATGGGTAATGTCGCTTTAAATTTATGAAAATTTTAATAGACGTTTGTGCAAATGGCTGTAAAGCTCTTGGTCAGTTGCACAAACGTCCATTTAGGTTTAATGTCGCCTTTATACTTTAATGAATGTCAAATTTGTATGGGTAATGTCACTTTACAATTAACTAATGTCAATTTTAATGGATGTTCGTGCAACTGTCAGTCTAATTGGTAAAGATAATTATGGAATATGTAGATTTAGATAGTATAAAACAAAGTTGCTTTTCGCTGTCTGTACGCTGAACTTTTTTAAACTACATCTTTGAGGATAGTTTATATGTATAATATAGAGAACTACGAGGGTGAAGTTTTTGGCAGAAAGCTAGTAGTAATTATAATAATAATAATTCTTCAAATAAGCTTTTGCTTTGAGGAATAGAATAGTTTTATTTTGCAAGTAATCATAAACAGAAACCTCGAAATACAAACACATTCCCCTGTGTCCCCTTAATTAACTATAAGATCATCTGAAATCTGTAACTAGTACAAAACTAACGCAACTTCAACTGTGTATTAGCAAATTGTGTGACGTCATCTGTTACCAACATGGAAACTCATTAAATACTAGGGCGACAACTGGCGGCATATTAGTTCATTGTGACGACGCAGCAGTGCGTTATTACTCTTATTACTCTGCTCTCAAACTAGACAGTGACAAGTAAGGCATTTACTAGATAAAAATCTGTGATAATATTAGTAAGAAGGAGGCATATACTAATAATATACTAATATTATAAAGAGAAAGTTAGTTTTTATTGTAAGCATCGAAACAAAACTACTGGTAGATTTACAAAATACTTTCACCTACGGGAAGTCACATTGTACGCGGATGACATAGGCTATATTTTAAGTTGCAGGAAAACAGCTAAGTCATACTTTGATATTGTGGACCTTATAGTGGACCTTCCGGGGATCTTTCTTTATTTCTTCTTTCTTTATTTCTTTTTTTCATTGATGTAAGTTTGGCAACGTCGTGCGTGCAGTAGTTTAAATTGTGTAAAAGTAAATAACTTTTTATTTAAAAAATCACGGGATTTTTTCTGCTCTTTAAAATTAATCTCGGGGTTTGAGGCATATCCACTTTATTCTTTCGCTGTATAAAATCAGTGTAAGTACATGAATAACTCTACCTAATTCCGACCACTGGTAATAATATAATACATTATGTTATGTATTCCATTATAGGGAATCGCAGTGCTGGAATAAGGCGACATAACTGGCTTAGGAATTTAAGGAATTGGTTTGGGCGGAGCACTACATCCCTGTTCCGAGCAGCAGCCTCTAAAATAAAGATAACCATGATGCTGTCCAACCTCCGATAGGAGTGGCATATCAAGAAGAAGAATGTATTCCATCTCAGAGTACCAAGGACAAATTGAATTTTTTAGGCATTTTTCATTATGAAAATTTTACAATACAGCATTGCGAATGCAAACATTGGTCAAATATAATACTATGTATAATGTTTATTTATTTTCATTTGATATTACCCAGCATCGAATGTTGCCTAGTTTCAGGTAGTTCAATTGCATAAAGAGAATAGTTAATTTGAATCTTATCTTGGGCATCTGATGATTTTCTTAAATATTTTTCTATAAAATGAATTGTGAATCCTCAAACAGTATTTCAGACCTTCTAATGTTGCTTACACCATATTCCAAGTCAAAATACAACGTGTTTGTGATGCTAGGTTTAATAATAAGCCCGCTATTGTTTGAGTTACTCGCATAGTTGGTCATATTATTAAGAACAGATTGCTGCGCTTAGTGAAGTTCTGGAGCCAGTGGGTTCATTATATAATTTTCGAAATTTCGTTATAGTTGTAGAAAAAGTTCCGTAATAAAATTCCATAAAAGATTCATTTTACATAAATGAAAAGTAATAATCGTGAAATTGTGTGAAAATTATTTGCAGTGATTGAATTTTTTTACTCATTAAATTTTTGATATTTTTTTATTAAACAATGAGAATTGATTAAACGATTTTTACGCAATTATCTGAGCCTTCCTTGAGCCTTAAGCGATTTCATAGTTTCTTGTAAAGTCAATAGTATTCGTTGAGTACGCCCGCTTTTTATTATACCTCTAAATTAAGCGTCTATATTAAAATATAATAAATACTCTGTTTAGAATTTAATAAGCTTTTATATAATCATAAAATATGTCAGAGAGTAATTTTGTTACATATTTATTTCTTTAGTAATTTATCCTATGTATAGTATAAAAGGAAATAAAAATAAGTAAATAAGTGCTTCAAATTATGAATACTTAATATGCACTGTTTAATTATAATTATTTGGATCCTTAAAATTAATAAGAGTTCCAATGTCTATTAATTTTTTTATCGGATTACCTACAATGACACCCCCAGGGCTCACTTTTATAAAATACAGACACGCGTTTAATTAAATTGTCTTTAAAAAGGACCAACTTTTAAAGACATTGATTATAAAAAAGACTTCTGAGCTTGTTTCGAAGACCTGTGCTCTTTTTGTGTAGAAAATATAAAAAAAAAGTTATTATGAATAAAGATTATTGCTGTTAAATTAAATATGCTTAATTTAGTAGGTTTTTAAAAATTACAAGAAACTAAAAGAAACCTCTTCTTGGCACTCTGAGATGGGTCTCGAACTCATGACCTTACGCAATCCTGGCAACTACTCTTACCCATAGCGTGAGGTATCGTTGGATAGGTCTTTCAAATATATTGGGGGCGATTTAGTAAAACACTCAATTTTTCAGCTAAACTTTTGTTGTTAGAAATACAATCTTCACGGCATTAGGGTTGCCAGATAGTCGGGATTCTGGATTGTCCTGACATTGCGTACGATGTTAAGAGTCCCGAAACAAACAACAAATATGTCCCGACAAAAATTGTTAGATTCAGTAAAATCGAATTATAAGTATACAAAATAAATAACACTCATATCATAAAAAATATAATAAGTATGTATATTAGCTGTTCAAATGTTATACTATAATTATGTGACCTTATAAATTGACAAAAAGTAGATACTCGTTATTATTTTAAAATTTAATAAATTAAAAGTGGTTAGATTTTTTTGTCCCGACTGTGTTCCCAAATACCGACTTTTTCAATTTTATCCAGATATTTTAGTCTCGTTATCTGGCAACCCTAGCAGTAGTTCCTACACATAACGAATTTAAATATCACACTTAAGTTGGCTGTATAGTAATAGTCAATCAATTGTATTTTACTTGAAAATTTCCATCAATTCCATTGAAATCAGCAAACGTAAGTCATGTTTTTGCGAATAATGTTACGGAACGAGTCCAATTAGCACTCGGTCAGTTTTTAATTTTAATTGCTGATACAGCATCCTTTCTTTAGTTTTTTTTTTTAAATAAATTATTAATAATAACCTTAAAAATAGAAAAATTTTAAAGTGAACCAAATACTTCCATTATTTGTGGCATCTGAAGTAAATGAAGTAATTGCTTTTAAAATAAGCGATGTTACTTTATTTGAACAAAAGCTTAACGAACTGTTTTTAATTAACGTCAGTGTTGAATCGCTTCTTAAGAGACGTCACAGAGTTGCAACCAAGAATGAGGCTCCATTCTATACAAATGGATCACCGATGGAACTGGTAATGAAACTCTTAGAAAAATTTTACAAACTGCGTTGGTGAGCGATAAATTATGGAAATCCAGCCATTGATTGTTGGCAGATACAAGAGCTGTGCGGTGGGCCCGTTCCCACGTAACTCTTGAGGCGACACCACAGCGCGATATCGTTGCATCAGATAGTGAATTTTAAACATGAGCAAGAGGAAAAACTTTAAATTGGCCACGATTAAAAAATCACGAGCCGTGCTTACGATGTTCCGGCATACTCAGAACATAGTTGGACGCTTCAACGAACTCGGGCAACAAAATCCTGAGTAACCAAAGCATAATACACTATTTAAGACTGACTACGGTTCCGTAAACGATACTTTTTCATTCCGATCAGATTCTTCATTTTTTTTTACTTTTATATATTATTTGTTAATTAATTGATGACCTAATATTGTTGATCGGAGTCTAAAATACAATGTCCGCATAGCGAGTATTTCTGAAAACGAGATTTGTTGACTATTGAAAACCAAACTCTTCGGACAAAGAATAAAAAAAAAACAGACACTTATGTTTCTTCCATTTCTTTTTTGTTATTTTCTTATTTCCAGATATTAAAACAGAAAGTATGCACTTCTACAAAACATGAATCTATCATTAAAATTAGATCCGAGCCTCGAAAGTAAATAAAAAAAATATATATAAATCATTTATTTGAATTTTGGAGACAATATATTTTTTAATAAGTAAGAACGAAGAAGGCAATTTCTTTTATGTTTTTAATAAAAGGAGAATTATACTTATTTTTAAGAAATAATCGCAATTGAATAGAATCTCAACCATTTGTGTATTGCTATTATGCTATCTACTCGAAGTCCAATTTTATTAGTGTAATATCTTCCTCACAAATCTGATCTAGTAACAAGAGCTTACTGTGTCATAAATAGTTAGGTATAGTTGTAGCGCACTTTGAATATACGTTAAAATTCGCAGAATAGCCCTACTGATACTTGTTTAGTTTCTACTTAACATAACCATACAAGTTGCTACAGTACAAAAGTAATTTAGCTGATCTATTTAAATTAAAAAGTAAAAAACGACGCATAATAATCTTCATTTCTAAAAAAATTACGAGGTTCGTTTTATTCTTTTATATTGAATCTCGTGTAAAATATTATGACATACTAAAATAATCTTGCTGTTCAAAGATATTTATTAATTTATCTTAAACTAATATTCGTCAAACAAAGTATCTATACTAATATTATAAAGACGTCAGATTTAACTGTTTGTTTACATTGAATAGGCTCCGAACCTTCTGGATCGATTTAACAAATTCTTTCACCTACATATCCAGACGAAGTCACGGGAACACAGCTACTATTAAATAATAAAAAAATCCTTAAAACAAATCTACCAACGCTCCGTTTAAATAACGATTAAAAAAACGAATTATGCATAATTTACATTAATTGAAGAGATAAATTCAGGCTGTAATTTGCATGAAGAGATATCGACAATTTGGGTAAGGAACCCCAAAAAACGGTTGTCTTGCTTGTGATTTATTACTGCGAGCACCCTCTTACTGGTCCCTCAGTGGCGCTAAATTATTCAGCTTTTAATTCGTTATCGCTTGCTCGTTTTACACTATTTACATCAGAAATAATTTAAGGCATGCATCCTCGGGGAGGGAGAATTGGGTCGTCACTTCCGGGACTTGGTTCTTTTTTAGTATGCCAGTGTTTTAATATAAATAATATAATGAAATATTAATATAAATCCTTATTAATTTTATTATGGAAGTAATTATCATAAGAAACAATTATATCTCATTAAACGTATGTTTAATTAGGTCAAACGAAAGAAATTCATATTTATGCACTGCGAAACATAACGAAAATAAGGTTCTAAGTTATTTTCGTATTAATAGAATGATTGTCATGCTTTTCTCAATGCATCTTTTAAACTCGATTCCTCTCACTTTTGTTATCGAGCTGATTTTACAACTTCTGTTTTGTTTAATGGTTAAAACATTGTTTTAATAATATTTAAGCTAGTTGTGTACATTTGTATTGGCCTGTGGCTGTTTTATGTACCAATCAAATAAAAATAATAATAAAAAATAAAGTGTAACTAAATTAAACACTTATTATAATGTACTGTGGCCTAATACTATGTTAAAGTTCTAAAAAACCATTTGATATAGCTTCTAATTTCATTATACCGTCTTTATAGAACTATCAGTGTGGGACTGTAATTAAAATATATGCTAGCTAGTTTTTTAACCGCTGTTTTCAACTACTGGAGTGCTTTTTAGCACTAGTAGCCATTATTAGACGATGCTACTAAGTTATATTAGATTGTATAAGACGGATATTAACGCGATAGTTTTTGATTGTTGGGTTTTTCACCTACTTATATTTCCCGACCTGGTCGAAACGTCGGATTTAGATTCTAACACAATGCAACGAGAAAGTATAAAAGTTTATATCGAACTAAGTTATGTTGATAAAATTCACCAATGGCTATATTCATATCTCATTTAAACGTTCATCTCATATAATCACTTTTTAGCAAATCAGTAAAATAGGTATTTGTGGCATAAAGTAGCTCGGTGGCGTAGTGGATAAGCGCCGTGACCCACGAACGTTGTCGAAAAGCATCTTTTCCAAGGTTCAGTCACGGGTTGGGTGTTCAAAAAATTATGATCTCGAGCTACTCCCTGTTTTCACATTAGGCCGTTAATTCCGCTGCATTCTCAGTTGTTAATACCCTTCAATCGGCATTGGGCCAGCGTGGAGGATTATGGCCCACCGTCCTAAACCATCATCCATAAGATAGACCTGAGCCACTGCAATGGGGACTTAAATTGCTGACGATGTTACTCGTACCTCTGCTAGCAGTCGTAGTGCCGACATGTCCGAAGAGGTTGGCGCTCGGATCCCAGAAGGTGCGTTCAAAGCAAAGCACCACTTTGTTCAGGTTACCATAGCCGAGACGCTTGATTGCAGCCACCTGCGCAGAAATATAATTTTCATTTATCAATACACATTTTATTGTCTCACGTATAGTAGCATAAATTACTCCACGTGCTATGGCAGCGCTTCACGTCTACGAAAAAATCACGTTTGATGTATGACAAGTGTTTATTTTTTGGTTTTTAGTATTTGTTCTTATAGCGGCTACAGTGTTCCGTATGAAATGATATATATCTCATACGGAACACTGAAAATGATAATCTTATTTACATTGTCATCATCAATCTATGTATTATTGTCTCAACTGCTGGGGCACAGGCCCAGTACGGATTGGTGGGTTTTAACTACTGCAGATCAACGACTTAAAGTGATAAATCGATATAATACATTTGTGTAGGTCGGTGGCGTAGAGGATAAGCGCCGCGGCCCGCGATCGTTGTTATTAAGCAACTTTCGCAAAGGGTCGGTCACGGGATGGGTGACCAAAAAATTATTATCTCGAGCTACTTCGTACTTCGGAAGGCACGTTAATTCGTTGGTCCCGGCTGCATTTGCAGTCGTTAATACCCTCCAATCCATATTGGACCAGCCTGGAGCGCCCCTCCTCCTTAACCATCCATAAAAAAGGCCTGAGCCCCTGCAGTGGGGGCGTAAAGGGGCTGGTGATGATGATGATGATGACGATGACATTTTTGTTCACCCATCTAACAGACAGGTCTTGGCGATAGTAGCTTTACGCAAACCAAATAGACTATCGCGCCATCAAGCGCATTCTTTGCTATATTATTGGTATTAGAAATTACATCTTTTAATCTTGTTTCCATTATTATTAAATTGTTATGCTATTATTATAAGACCATCTTTTTTTCTCTCTATTTATAATGTGTTGATCTGGTAATGACATGGCTTTTATGAATGTCATTACTCCTATTAGAGCTGGTGAGTTTTTTGCACGTTCTTCTTATCAGCCAAAAGTAGGGAAAAAAGTTGGACCATTCAAAAGTACTTTTAAGAAGTCTATTTGAATAAAGATTATTTTGACTTTGACTACATTAGATTAAGCAACCAATTATTGATACCTACTATTTTGTGTTATATATATATTTAGCTTAAAAAATGAGACTGGTGCAATTTCAAGTAGTGATTTTTCTTTAAGGATTAATACCAATATAGCATTGTAAATACTAAATTGAACTAATATATTTTTTTATTCTTATTAATCATGAATTCGATTAATTATTGAAAACAGTCAAGTACAGTTGAAATTAGCAAAAACAACTCATACCAATGAATCTTGACTTATTTTGATGAGATTCCTATTGAGTTCAAAAGAAATGGTAGATATAGAATTATTATACGGAGCCAGTGTCATATCCTTTACATTTTATCAGACCGTTCAGCGTTTAATTAATGTAATCCTTCTTATAGGATACCCCATTTCGGTTCTAAAATTTATTACGATGACTAACAAATTGATGATTAAGGTTTCCTTTAAGCAAATGAATTTTATATAATTCAGTTATTATAATTTATAGGCACTCGAACAATCACCGTTAAGATTTCATTATGGATTTGAATTATAATATCAACTAACTGGAGCAATTATTAGAGTATAAATATTATAGCACTAGTGGCCGCCAGCGACTTAGTCCGAGTTTTCCATTATTTCTTCGCTCCTAATAGTTGCAGCGTGATGTTATATAGCCTAAAACCTTCCTCGATAAATGGTCTATTCAACACGAAAAGAATTTTTCAATTCGAACCAGTAGTTCCTGAGATTAGCGCGTTCAAACAAACAAACAAACTCTTCGGCTTTATAATATTAGTATAGATAGAGCAGTTATGTGCATATATATTTAACCAAACAAATAAATACAATTGGAGAGTCTGTTCGTAATATTAAAATAACCGCCTTTCACTAAATACATGGTGTATGTATACACGGTACATATACAAAGTTTTTTGTCCTTTTTTTTACATTTTTGTCTGTCTGTCTGTTTATACCATCTAATCTCTGAAACGGCAAGACCAATTTTGACGGGACTTTCCACGAGGACGAAGTCACGCGCTAAGCTAGTTTTTAAAGAAATTATAACCTTCACGCCTCTTAAGTAACAAGTGAATACACGTACTGATACAACTGTCCTAAACTGATGGGAAATAATGTCCCGTTTGTCATTTTTATGACATCCAAACAAAACGTAGTAATTTCTATCGATAAGTATCCCTAACACGAAAATTATCGAATGCTAATTTTATTTGTATCAAACACATTATTAGTCTGAATTTTTGATTTGAGACTTTAATATTCAGGTATAGCGTTACAAATAAATTGGCTTTATTTTTAACAGGTTTCAAAAACAAAAAGGATGAGGTTCTATGTTGGATGCGTATGTATTTTTTACATTTTTTCTCTGATTTTTCAATTATTATTGGTTTAACCCTATATAACATTAAACGATACTCGCAATAACTAGAATTACAGTATCCGAATCTTTTTGTTAAAACCAGATATGTAGTAGTAAACGATGATTCGTTATGTATATACACATAGAAATGTAATAACGGCAATAATTAATAGTTTGGCAGTAAAATAAGAACCAGCAGGAAATCAGTTTCGACTTATATCAGTTTAAAATGTTCAGTCAAAAGTGACCGTGAGTGTTGAGCTTCTTTCTTTGTTACAGTTAATACTAGTTTTTAAATAGAACGCCAGTTACCCAGTTAGAACTAGTTTTTACTAAATGATTTTATTTTAAATTCCTATGCATAAACAACGAATCCAACTTTTATGTCCGATACAAATTAAGTAACAATGTTTTGACAAAGATTTTTATTTTCAATATTTTTCTCTTAGGAATAAATATTTTTTGCGAGTTTTTCGAGTGCAAATTTAAAAATATTAAATTAACAATATTGATTCGTCATTGTTGATACAATATTAACGTTCCAAACACTTGAAACTTACCTTCCAATCTGGCAACGGTGGGTCAAATTTGACGAAGTTCTGTTGATTCTGACCATTATTCGCCACCGCCACTTTCAGTACACCGAGTGGTAATGTACACAAGACCACATCACCTAAAAGAACAAGTTAATAAATAAATAAATATTAGAGAACAACACTACTTAGATATCGTTTGTGTAAATCTTAAACATTTAATGTTGCTATGAGACATATAGTCCAAAAAAAGGAAGGATAGAAATAATTTTACGCAGTTAAACGAGTTGAAAGTTGTATTAAAAATAAATGTTCATGAAAAAAAACAATGCATTTTAGACATCATGTTTCGTCGTAACATTAACCGCTGAAGGCCTACACAACAGATATCTAAGGAGAATTCATGAAAGTTTTATCTTTTTAAATGTCTGAATTCGAATACCGAACTGAGGATTAGTTTTTTTTTTCTTTTCACCAAAATCGATCTCGTTCCCAAGAACAGATCTTCGTTTGTCCTATAGTTTCAGACTTTCGTTCTCTCTGATTTTGCATACTGGCCGTTCTAAATAGAGCAAGAGCCCGTGAACGTCACACCTTCGTTCGTTTACTTACAACTTTATAAAAGATGAAAATTCGTCAGCGCATGCTCCTAATACAAGTACGAACGGAACTACCAGCATGAAGTTTGTACCATCTTGGTCTCGGCTGGTAAACGGCACTAAAGGTGTGTATAATATTAGCATATATTTTTCAAATAACAAAGCGTCACTTTTTCGTATTTCCTTCAAAATATTGTTAAAAATTACGTCATTCATTGCCAAACGTACCATTGTAGCAACCACTTGACAGACACCCTTGATGCTGATTTAAGTAATTCTTATTACGTTATTTCATAAAGCTTTTTGTATATAGGTATTATTTGGATAGTGTTAGTTAATTAGATGATGTTTCCTCATCAGCCAGACCTTTTTAAAAGTTCCAATTCTTGCCAAGCACACAAAAGTTAGCAAATGTATATGCAAAGGTTATAAAGAAATCAAATCTAATAATACGTCCACGGGCTCTTAGACTATATGTGTAGAGTTTGTGTATTTTTTTAATTTATTTCTTAGACTTAGACTAAAGACTGTAGCAGCTGGGCTATCGCGTAACTGAAACCCTGGCTGATCGGTTACAATGAAATATAATAATTTATTTGCTTTTAAATGAGGTACACTGTAGGTGGAAATACAATTTAATAATGTCAATGAAAAATACTTAAAACACGTATTTTTAAACATTTTTCGATAACGATACCGAATTGCGAGACTACTCAATGAGATACTTAGATGATGGTGCATAGGGTGCAATGAAGCGCCATTTTTTTTCAATTATTTTAAATGTATAGAATAAAATAGTTTTATCCTTTTTGGCATACATTACATTTTGGTAAATTTAGTTTCAATTTGTGACATAATTTAATTTGTTCACTATCACTTTTAATTAACGACTTTTACTTTTAATTTCTTTATGTTCCTTTTTAATTTAAGTAACATTAAAAGCAACACAATCAATTTAAAGTGCTGCTACTCAAGAATTCTTTATTCTATATAATAATACTTAAAACCGTAAAATTATTACGGTACAAGACCAAATTTATTAAATGGGTGTGGTCGAATATCAAGCTAACCGTTTTCATGTTAAGGTTGTTAGTTATATGCTCTCTCCGTGGGTCAAGATTTGCACAGGAACCTTAACGAGTACCAGATTACAATGTAATCAAAGGGCCCTTTGTTACGTTCCCCTAAATTCGGTTTTGTCATTTACTGTGGCGATCGCAGTTTTAATTTCAATAATCATGCAACCTAATTGCGCATTTATAATTTAAAATGCGTGTAACAGTTTACTTAATAAACTGTCCTTGTTTTGAATTCTTTTTTTTAATACAAATAAATTTAAAGAAAAATATAATTAAAAATAGTTTAAGGTACAATGTTAACAATTGTACTATGGAGGTAGGCAGACATAGGAGCGCAGCGCGGCTCATAGTGGTGGCATAGTATTTAAAATGACTTCTCGCGAGTCCAATTTTCATTGTGATTTGATTATTTCAAATTGTGTGTAAGTGCTAAATAACCCCGAAATCGGGTGAGTGTTCTATTCATTTAATTTTTGCTGCTCGCTTATAAGTTTATTACCTTAGAGTATTTTATTTTTAAAATCACAAGTCCAATAAGTAACTTTTAAATTCTAAATCTGTTTCGCTGTTTTATAATGTTTATTCATTGTTCATTGAATATTATTACTGAGGGTTTCTACTGCTAGTTTCTACTGCTGTTTCTACTGCTAGTTTCTACTGCTGTTTCTACTGCTAGTTCTACTTCTTCATCAACTCCAGTCCTCCGGAGCTTCGTGGACCTTCGGTACTGCTGACCGGAGCTGACGTCGGGTCTACACCCTTCTCAGCCTCTGCCCGGCCCGTGACGCCGAACCCGCGAAGTCCTCACTAATTGCAAAACTTAAAAGCTAAGTCCTCCCCTCGTAATTATAGAAACAAGAACCATAACGAACGAATATCTTAACCTACCCCCTGAGAACTAAAATAAAGATTGTTAAACTTTATTATTACTTTTATTCTTTATACCTGAAGCCTGGGGGTGCTTCACACCCCCCATCTACAACCCAAACGCTTCAGTGGCGCCCGGCTCGCTCAGGATTTCGCTCGCTCTGTGGTTCTTGTTTATTTCTAATTTTTTTTCTTTTATTTTATTAAAAAGTGGGTAACAAGTTTTTCCTTTTTGGGTGTGATCTCGACTGATCTCACACTCATTTTAGAGTCAAGTTCCTGCCTCATTTGGTAGCTGTAAAACCAATTAATCATTCTATAATAAATTTTTTTTTGCAAATTTAAAAAGAAATAACATTATTACGGTCATTTCCGCTTGGTTTAACCGCTTGTGTTTAGCATCCGGTTTTCAAATAATTGGTTACATTTTATAATCTAAATTGATATTAACTATTTCAAAAAAACTAAAATTTTGAAACTATAGATACTACCCACTTCTTAGTAATTTTTTTTTGTACCGTCAATTTGAATTTCAAACGTTTTACGCGACTGTGAATTTGTGTTAGCTTCGACGGAACACTCACCCTTAATCACTTTTCAATTTTTCTACCGCGTTAGAAGTCATTGCTTTCATTATGGCCAGTGAATACCCTATTAATTTTTTTTCTTTAAACAAGTCTGAACTTGAATATGAAGTTAGTCTACGTGGATTGGTTCCCGGTACATCCGTGGCCGAGTTGAGGAAACAAATAGTTATTTTTGATAAGGAAATTTCTCCAGAGGACATTCTTGTTTCCCATCTGGAACCAGACGAAGACATTGAAGGTGTTCAAGAAAGTTTAGCTAAATCATTTAATAATTTATCTACCCTAAAAATTAAATTCGACAAAAATTTATTTCTCAGAACTGAGTTTTTGCTTAATCAAATATATCACCGATTGAATAGAATTGATCCTAGTGATGCCTTGATTAAAGTTTTTGATAGTTGTAAACTTAACTTTGATTCTCAATACAAAGATTTACTTGTTTTGAAGCCTTATGTTGAACCAAAATCAAAACTACCGACACAATTAGTATCCGATCTAGAAAAATCTATAATTAACGTTACTGTCGAAAGACAAAATACGGCAGATATAAATAAAATTAAATTCAATGGTAAGACTTGCGTTCGATCTTTTATTCAAAGAATTAATGAATTTGTTGAATCGAGAGGAATATCTCATGAGAAAATTCTCTCATTTGGTTACGAGATATTTACGGATGAAGCACTTCATTGGTTTCGCTGCGTAAAACCGAGGGTATCTACTTGGACGGAACTTTTACTTTTGCTCAAGGCCGATTTTAGTCCCCATGATTTCGACTACCGTTTCATATCTGAAATTCGTTCACGAACACAGGGAAAGAGCGAATCCATTTCCATTTACCTTTCAATAATGGAAGGTATGTTTTCGCGTCTGGACAGGTCCTTGTCGGAGGAGGATAAATTAGAAATTTTGTCGCACAATGTGAGACCGTGTTATGCCAACACTCTAGCCGCAGCTTCACCCATTTCCTCAATTAACTCTCTTAAGGCCGCTTGCCAAAATTTTGAGAAAATTCAAGGTCAATTATCAAACTTTGCTGAACCGTCTCCTTCAAATGCACAGACACTTGCTCCTGAGTTCGCATATCGTGAGGAACACCACCACCCACTAAAAAGTTTAGTTAAAAATTCTTTTATTTCTAACAGGGCGATTATTTCTGCGATTGCTGCAGAAAAAAAGTTTTGTCCTAGGTGTCGCAATAACACGCACGATCTAAGAAGTTGTACACAGCCTCGGAAAATTATTTGTTTTAGGTGTGGTAAACCAGGTGTTCGTGTTCCAGAATGTCCAAATTGTAAAAATATTGCCAAATCAAAAAACTAATTAACCAGAACTGGAGACGCACTAATTTTACTGACCATAGAAGACAGTCTCATAGGTTCGATAGGTCGTCCTTTAAAAAAAAAGTCTTTTCTAACCGCTCTTCGTCTCCAGTTCGCGATAAGTGTAAAGTAATCAGTTTGAACCAAGAAAATGAAAATAAATTCTTTTCTCGTCCATTTATTTCTGTAGTTGCGGATAATGAAAATATTATTGGTCTTTTGGATACTGGTTCCAGTATAACAATTCTTGGAAATAACTTTCATAAACAGTTCTCTGTTAATAACTATCCTCTTTGTACTTGTGAACCGTTACAGCTTTCTGCAGCTGGCGGTCAAATGTTTTTAACATCCATGTATATCAACTTGCCGATAACTTTTAACAATAGTACTCGAACCTTAAATTTTTTTATTGTACCGTCTATCAAAGACAACTTAATACTTGGGATGGATTTTTGGAGAAAGTTTGGTTTGTTTCCTACTGAATTGGATGGTTTCGTGCTCGATACGCCACATGAAATTGGTCTTTCGAATTTTTCTGTAGACGAACCTCGTCATCTTTTTTCGTATTCACATCTTAATGAAGAACAGAAAAGAACAGCTGATGAGATGATTTCACAATTTCGCAATATTTCGTACGAAGAACGTGGTTTGGGTCGTACTTCAATAATAATGCATGCTATCGACACAGGTGATGCCGTTCCTATTAGGCAAAGGTACTACCGAATGTCTCCACAAAAACAGCAAATTCTTTGGCAACAATTAGATGAAATGTTAGAGGAAGACGTTGTGGAACCATGTGAAAGTCCTTGGTCTAACCCGGTTCTCCTAACCCCAAAGAAAAACGGAGAGTATAGACTTTGTTTAGACAGTAGGAAGTTGAATTCCGTCACACGTAAAGATGCCTATAGTCTACCATATATTTCAGAAATTCTCGATAATCTTAGAGATGCTAAATATTTGTCTAGTATTGATCTTTCTAAATCCTTCTGGCAGGTCCTAATTAGGCCTGAAGACAGATGTAAGACTGCGTTTTACATTCCCTCTAGAGGAACATTTCAATTTAAGTCCATGCCCTTCGGACTAACTAACGCACCGGCTACGCAGCAAAGATTGGTCGATTTACTATTTTATGGGCCAGAATTCGAAAATAAAGTTTGGGTTTTTATTGATGACATTATTATAATTGCAGACTCTTATGAGAAGCACATATCTTTACTTAAACAAGTGCTAGAAAAGCTAAAATATGCTAATCTTACTATTAACTTTGAAAAATGTCAATTCTTTAGGGAAAAGTTAAAATATTTAGGTTATATCGTGGACTCTAAAGGTCTTCAAGCTGATCCAGAAAAAATAGAGGTCATTGTTAACTACCCTCCTCCAACTAACAGAAAAGAAGTTCGCCGATTTTTGGGCACTGCGTCGTGGTATCGTCGTTTTATACCTAATTTTAGTTCCATCACAGCCCCATTAAACAAACTAACGTCACAAGGTAAAACTGCTCCCCCTTTCGTTTGGTCTGCAGAAGCGAACGCATCTTTTGAAAGGCTTAAACGGTGTTTGACCTCGCCTCCTATTTTAGCGTGTCCTAATTACGCTGAACCCTTTCAAGTGCATACAGATGCTAGTGACTACGGGATTGGCGCTGTTCTTACGCAGATTCTCCACGGCGAAGAGAGAGTAATAGCCTACATGAGTAAATCCTTGTCAGCTCAGGAACGTAATTATAGTGCAACTGAACGCGAGGCTCTCGCTGTCATTATTGCGATAGAACACTGGAGGTGTTATTTGGACAACGGTAAAAAGTTCACAGTTTTTACTGATCATTCGTCTTTGAAATGGTTTCTTAATTTAAATAATCCTACTGGTCGACTGGCTAGGTGGGGAGTCCGCCTTTCAGCTTTTAACTTTGACATTAAGCACAAACATGGCAAGGATAATGTCATGCCTGATTTGCTATCTCGCGCTATAAATATATCTGCAATTACAAATAATAATCCTTCCATACCTAATGTGTGTGATCCATGGTATATTAAATTATTTTCTAGTTGTCAGGTGTCTCCTACATCTTGTGCTAATTATAAAATAACTAATAATAAACTTTACCGTTTCATGAAAAGTCTGAACCCTCTAACTAGAGAATTTGAGTGGAAAGAGGTGATTCCTAGCGAGTTTAGACAAGCGACTATAGCGGAAAATCATTGCAATCCTATTTCAGGGCACCTGGGTATTTTTAAAACCTTAAAACGTATTTCCTTGAAATATTTTTGGCCTGGCATGCACAAAGATATAACAAATTTTGTGAATAATTGTGATGCATGTAATGCACATAAGCATGCAAATCACCCTACTTTAGGTTTAATGGGTCGTCCTAAAGATTGTTCTAGGCCTTTTCAAATGCTTAGTATTGACCTAATTGGTCCATTGCCTCCAACTAGGAAACAGAACACCATGATATTGGTCGTAACATGTTGTTTTTCTAAATACACTCTTTTATTTCCCATACGTCGTGCAACCGCCGAAATTATTACTAACATTCTAGAGGAAAAAGTACTGTTAGTCCATGGCATACCTAGTACCATTCTAATGGATAATGGTAAACAGTTCGTTAGTCAAAAATTACAGCAAATGTTTGCGCAATATAAAATACCTAATGTACGTTTTACTCCCAAATATACACCACAGGTCAATACAGTTGAACGATATAATAAAACGGTAATGACGGCCGTTTCTACATTCATTAACGAAGACCATAGAACTTGGGATGTTAATATACCAAAGATTCAGTTCGCACTCAACACTGCTGTTAATGAAGTAACAGGTTATACGCCATCATTTTTGATCTTTGGAAGAGAATTGGTATCTTGCGGTTCGCATTATCTCGACATCGATTTATCTGACGACCTTATTTTTGTACCGAGAGATCAATATGCTGAAAATACTGGCAAGCTTAGAAAAATATTCGATCAAGTCCAAAGTTCCTTAATAAAATCTCATTCTAGGAATTGTGGTCCCTATAATCTACGTCGAAAAAACCACGAATTCAACGTTGGTGATGTCGTTTGGAAGAAAACTTACTATCAAAGTGACAAAGATAAACAATTCTCAAAGAAATTAGCTCCAAAATATATAAAGTGTCGTATCAAAACCAGGTTGTCGCCTTTGGTATATGAATTGGTCGACTTACAAGGCAAAAATTTGGGTTC